CAAACGGCTGCAGTACAACGAGATTCATCCGTCCTCATCTGGTGAGATAGACCAACGTATCTCTTCTTCATTTACTTGAATGCGAACTGAAAGTCCCCCTAATAATAGGAAAAATTTAAACATATATTGAAATTATGAGGTCATTTGACTAGTAAATATTATCTGGAAATTTAAATTATATGCCATTTAAGAGCTTGAACTGCATTAAGTATAAACTGGCTTAAAAGAGCAGCAGCATAGACCTTGTTCCGAGAATTTATGTCCTCTACAGCCTGGTTATGAGCTGGTACCCTAAGGCTAATAGGCCAAGACTCACCAGAATTTTGACTCGAATAAGTTTGCAGTAATCGGCGTGCTCGAAACACTGAAAGGCAGAAGCGATGAAGAAGAGCGATTGTGCCGCGTAAACGCCAAGATTGCTGACAGACGGGGACCAAAAGAGATTCAAGCAATACGGGGCAACTGAGTGGGCGATCTTCGTGAAGTCTTGATAAAGGAGCCAAATAATACTGATCACAGCAATCTAAAATTAGAATGGAAGATAGGACAAGACCCTGGATAATCTGTCGAAGAACCTTCTTCATGGGTAATTCAACCATCATTTGATGATACCTAAGGTAGACCTGAATATAAGTACTCTATAAAAGTGGAGAACTAATGTCAAAGCTATCAATGAATCTTGTTTTAAAATACAAACCCCAAATAATCGACATTAAAGACGAGATACAGAAATGGAGAACTAAAACAAAATACTCACCCTCACAAGTTGTCAGATGAGCAAGTGTAAGATTCTCGTAGGTATCAAGAAGGCAATGACGAACAACCTGGAATAAAGATAAGATGTAAGTCAAAATAAGAGTCAATCGACTTATATCAGATTATAGGTGAATAAGTGGATACGCGTTAAGAAGCCACTGCTTATTTTAACCCTTTTTAATGTAAAAGAGGCTTGACGATCACATGTAATGATTCTGAAGTAAATGGGCCTGCATGCTTAAGTGTAAAGCAAGAGTTTATTTTAGAATTATATTATCTATATAAGAGATAATAACTTTAATCTCGCAACAGTATGAACCTGTAAATAAATATAATGATCACAGGGAGATGAAGTAAATACCAAATATGTGGGAAACACATGAGATAAAGCCCTGATTCTTATCGCCCCCTAGCAGTAACAAGAATGCCCTATGATGGATCGAGACCAAATGCTAGCTTTGGTAATACCGATGAGTAACTTCTAGTTTGCTTTAGACGGAACTTTGGCTTGGGATAAACTGTTTCCCTGATGTGACAGCTACAATAATGCGACTATTGATATTGGATCATGCATCGTAGATAAGAATTTATACAGGTACAGCAAAGCCCAGCTTGATAATGTCTTAGTAATATAGGCTTTACATTGCCTGTCTTTTAAAATGGTTTATCTGTCTAGTAAGTAATAATATC